TTACGAGATTGTACAAACTTAGCACTGCACATCAACACCAAATACAGAGTAAGAGTGGAAAGCTAAAGATTCACACATTTTATCGTTATTCAGTAAAACAAAAAATAAAATTAAAACAATTTTAAAAAATCAAGCAGAAGAAATGTTGCCCCCATATGCAGACGTCTCTTTTACGCTACGAATATTATGCAACAAAATTATAAAAGTTGTATGCTTCTATAAATTCTTCATCAGTTGAGCCCACCTCCTTACATGTACCCCACCCCATCTCAAAAGAGTACTGAAATTGCTTCCAAAGGCTTGATTGTATTTCAGTATCTTTGATTTGCTGAAGAATTTTCAAGAGATCTAGAGTAATTTATTGATTCTGGAAAATCTTATATAATGTTGTAAAAGAGTGATCAGATTGAAATCATTGAATGGATTCCAATTTCACACCTTTGAAAATATATTGTAAAATTTAGCCTGAAGGGAATATTCTCACACCTTTTTTTCCCAGAACTTCAATGTAAACAGTGATATACACATATATTCAACAATTCATCTCCACACCGACTGATGATGACTCGAGCCATTTCCTGTTTATTATCAATTTGTGTATATACTTTGTTTTGGAGTACCTACTCTAAAAATTATTTTAAAACATTTTCCAAGAAAAAACAACAACATTTTAAAGTGTTGATTAATGGACATACAAAAATATGTATAGTTATAGTTTTTTTTTACTGCAAAACAATGAAGATGACAATGGCTAATAATTAGTAAATATAGTTAACCTTGTTAATTAAGTTTAGGTAACAACATGTTGGACTAATTATATTGTTAGTGCTATTATCACATGAAAACAGTTATTGGTATCTGTTTCGAAAAAAAAAAATTCAAAATACATGTATTCATACATGTATACATGAGGCTTCATGGTTTGCTCATTCAAAGATCTGTTGCAACTCATTTTCATAATTAAAAAACCATCATTTATTCAACATTTTATTTTTTTCTTATTTAACAGATTAAAAATATATATTCATAAAATATACTTTTCTAACATTTCAATTTAATTTTACCAATTTATATATATGCATACATATAATATGACCTTTCCTATTACAATGCATTCAGTACTGTCTTTTATGGTGCAGATTACAATCACTTACAGAATTTAGATTCAATTTACCAGAAATTGTATTTTTCATTTCATACCTAAATGTTTGGGAAATTTAATGATAATAATAAGTGTATAAATTAAATGAAGAATATCTAACTGTGCCATATTTCATCGTAAGTTTTTGTATGAAGAAATAGGTATACATCTCAGCTCTTTGATTCATTCCTTGAAAAAATTATCAATATAATTACAATCCTTTAAATTTAAAAATGACCCAAAATTTAAAGTTATACTGATATAGAAAAGAGTAGAAATTCTGATATTGTAAAAATTAAGACTTCAATTTTCATGGGGAACATTTGCCATGTTAATTAAATTCACCTAATCATACTGGTGTGTTCTCTTAAATGGCTATATATAACTTTTTTTATTTCTGAATGAAATTTTGCCAATTTGATATTATTTTGCTTGCAATAGCATGTACTTTCTAAATGTAAAATGATAAATTGTAAAAGGACTGACATTTTCATAGGGAGAATCCATCATCATATTATACTCCGTCAATCATACTGGTGTGTTCTCTTGAATGGCCATAACTTTTTTTATTTCTCAATGAAATTTTGCCAATTTGATATTATTTTGCTTGCAATAGCATGTACTTTCTAAATGTAAAATGATAAATTGTAAGAGGACTGAAATTTTCATAGGGAGAATCCATCATCATATTATACTCTGTCAATCGTACTGGTGTGTTCTCTTGAATGGCCATAACTTTTTTATTTCTGAATGAAATTTTGCCAATTTGATATTATTTTGCTTGCAATAGCATGTACTTTCTAAATGTAAAATGATAAATTGTAAAAGGACTGACATTTTCATAGGGAGAATCCATCATCATATTATACTCTGTCAATCGTACTGGTGTGTTCTCTTGAATGGCCATAACTTTTTCATTTCTGAATGAAATTTTGCCAATTTGATATTATTTTGCTTGCAATAGCATGTACTTTCTAAATGTCAATTGATAAATTGTAAGAGGACTGAAATTTTCATAGGGAGAATCCATCATCATGTCATATTACTCCGTTAATCGTACTAGTCTGGTGTGTTCTAATGAATGGCCATAACTTTTTTATTTCTCAATGAAATTTTGCCAATTTGATATTATTTTGCTTGCAATAGCATGTACTTTCTAAATGTCAATTGATAAATAATTGTAAGAGGACTGAAATTTTCATAGGGAGAATCCATCATCATGTCATATTACTCCGTTAATCGTACTAGTCTGGTGTGTTCTACTGAATGGCCATTACTTTTTTATTTCTCAATGAAATTTTGCCAATTTGGAATTATTTTGCTTGCAATAGCATGTACTTTCTACATGTAAAGTGATAAAATACAAGAGGACTAAAATTTTCATAGGGAGAATTCATCATCATGTCATATATTACTCGTTAATCATACTAGTCTGGTGTGTTCTCTTGAATGGCCATAACTTATTTATTTCTCAATGAAATTTTGCCAATTTGATATTATTTTGCTTGCAATAGCATGTACTTTCTAAATGTAAAATGATAAATTGTAAAGGGACTGAAATTTTCATAGGGAGAATCCATCATCATATTATACTCTGTCAATCGTACTTAATTGTGTGTTCTCTTGAATGGCCATAACTTTTTTATTTCTGAATGAAATTTTGCCAATTTGATATTATTTTGCTTGCAATAGCATGTACTTTCTAAATGTCAATTGATAAATAATTGTAAGAGGACTGAAATTTTCATAGGGAGAATCCATCATCATGTCATATTACTCCGTTAATCGTACTAGTCTGGTGTGTTCTAATGAATGGCCATAACTTTTTTATTTCTCAATGAAATTTTGCCAATTTGGAATTATTTTGCTTGCAATAGCATGTACTTTCTACATGTAAAGTGATAAATTATAAGAGGACTAAAATTTTCATAGGGAGAATCCATCATCATGTCATATATTACTCGTTAATCATACTAGTCTGGTGTGTTCTCTTGAATGGCCATAACTTTTTTATTTCTCAATGAAATTTTGCCAATTTGATATTATTTTGCTTGCAATAGCATGTACTTTCTAAATGTAAAATGATAAATTGTAAAAGGACTGACATTTTCATAGGGAGAATCCATCATCATATTATACTCCGTCAATTGTACTGGTATGTTCTCTTGAATGGCCATAACTTTTTTATTTCTGAATGAAATTTTGCCAATTTGATATTATTTTGCTTGCAATAGCATGTACTTTCTAAATGTCAATTGATAAATAATTGTAAGAGGACTGAAATTTTCATAGGGAGAATCCATCATCATGTCATATTACTCCGTTAATCGTACTAGTCTGGTGTGTTCTAATGAATGGCCATAACTTTTTTATTTCTCAATGAAATTTTGCCAATTTGATATTATTTTGCTTGCAATAGCATGTACTTTCTACATGTAAATTAAGTGATAAATTATAAGAGGACTAAAATTTTCATAGGGAGAATCCATCATCATGTCATATATTACTCGTTAATCATACTAGTCTGGTGTGTTCTCTTGAATGGCCATAACTTTTTTATTTCTCAATGAAATTTTGCCAATTTGATATTATTTTGCTTGCAATAGCATGTACTTTCTAAATGTAAAATGATAAATTGTAAAAGGACTGACATTTTCATAGGGAGAATCCATCATCATATTATACTCTGTCAATTGTACTGGTATGTTCTCTTGAATGGCCATAACTTTTTTATTTCTCAATGAAATTTTGCCAATTTGATATTATTTTGCTTGCAATAGCATGTACTTTCTAAATATAAAATGATAAATTGTAAGAGGACTGAAATTTTCATAGGGAGAATCCATCATCATATTATACTCTGTCAATCGTACTGGTGTGTTCTCTTGAATGGCCATAACTTTTTTATTTCTGAATGAAATTTTGCCAATTTGATATTATTTTGCTTGCAATAGCATGTACTTTCTAAATATAAAATGATAAATTGTAAGAGGAATGAAATTTTCATAGGGAGAATCCATCGTCATATTATACTCTGTCAATCGTACTGGTGTGTTCTCTTGAATGGCCATAACTTTTTTATTTCTGAATGAAATATTAAAGTAATGATTTTAAAATGTTAAGTTTGCAATGAATTATATGGCAAAAAGCTTTCAAAAATAATTTTGACCCTTGACTGTATTAGATTAAAAGAAGATGGACTGTTTTTCCCTGTACATTAAAGAGAAAAAAAACAATTTCCATTCTCCTGTAGGATAAAATATTCTATAAATCATTTTGTTAGAGAACTTTTAATCCTATTAGTGACAATTATAGAACTTCTTGTCCTATTTCACAAATTATGGGATAAAAAATCCCATGTAAGGTTAAAAATGGGAGTTTTGCTTCTATAGGAGAAAAAATCCCACAGAACTCATTTTTCTCCCACAGAATAATGGTGGGATATTAGTTAGGAGAGAAAATCCCACCATAGTCCCATGGGATTTCTTGATTGCAGGTGTAATATCTTTTAATCTAGAAGATATTCAGGTGTAAAGGTTAGTCCATGTTGTGCGATTAAAAAAATCCCACCAGATGACATAAATGGTTTCCATGTATCTTTGGAAAAGTGGTTGGCGAAAGTCCGGACAAATGTCGTGTCCGGAGTTAAATGTCGCACTGTTGTAATCAGTTTCATACGACAGTATTTGTCACAATGTACAAAGAAATAAGATCAAGGTATTATAATAGATTAACATGCACAGGGCTAGGTAAATAAATTTTCTTTATTCCTCTCAACAACCCATAAAACATGTTATCTACTAGTATGTAAAGTAAATATACTTATAACATTGATAAAGTGATTATTTATAATCTATTTGCAGCCATTGTTTATGCCATGTGGAGAAACGTTGGTCGAAAATCCAATGAATTGGTATTGACATCCTCAAGTGAGCGATTGAATTCAAATGACCCTAACCTGAGGTTGGATTGTTCCAACTCTATACGAGGACTTTTCGCGGGCATTCTGGTCACCGTGGGAACGATCATCACTATGGTCGCCTTTTATGTCTTAGTGACCAGACATCCTATGTCCAGTACCGCCATTATTTTAGTTCACGTCTCTGAAACTTCCATGTTTTTGCTGATGACAGGCGCCATTATATTTGCAGCTGACAGAATGAAAAACTTGAAATTCACCAACGTTTCGTGGAGATTCTCAGTAGAGCTTCACCTTTTGTTTGTGTCTTTTACGGGAGTTTTTGCTTTCGCTGTTTTTGGAGTTATCGCTGCTGGCTTTGAGACCCACAAACCAAAAGGGGTTTTAAACATTTTGACTAATTTATTTATGATTTTGCAATCCACGATTCAAGTTTTGTTCATTGTGGCAGGAAGTAAACTAGTTTCAGCCAATGAATCTCAAGAGCGAAAAAAACGAGGTCGAGAGTTTGTAACATTTCTTATACTTTGTAACTTTGCTTTGTGGGCAATGAACACTTTTGAGACTCAGCAACCAGAGCACAACCCGGTGCAGATGGACTTTTACGGTCCTCTAGCATGGTCTGTGCTCACGCACGTGACTGTTCCATTATCCATTTACTTCCGATTCCACTCTTCTGTTTGTCTAATAAACATATGGCGGTATGCGTGGATATGGCAACGTCGACAAGAGGGGCAACGGGAAAGTGCTTGTTAAAGGACTCTGTGATATTTAAATATTCTTATTTTTGTTTGATTTTCTATGCTATAAATTTAGCATTTCATTTAATGTGTGTCTTTAAGATTGAGTGCAAAGGCTTTAATCATATTCCCATCTGTACTTAAATATCAAACACAGTCAGTTTGTGTGTTTTTTGTTTCTTTTTTTTTTAATTCATGCATTTTTTTCCCTTTAGTTTTATGAATAAAGCATTAATAACCGGACCAAGTGTTGAATTTCAAGACCTATTTTTTTTTTTTTTTAAATAAAGTCGTATTGAAAATTTGTGTCAGGTACATTGTATGTTCGTATCTCGGGAAAGATAACTCTAACATGGATCAATGCGACCATAATCACCTTACCTTCAATGAATGTTCAAGGTTAATGAAATATTTTTGGAGTAGAAGACTTGATTGTACAATGCCAACATTTATATCAGTTTCATTACCTGTGATCCTGTTGTTCCTTTCAGTCATAAATTTCTAAGCATTCTTCTTTAAAATTTGAACACTTACATCAAAGTTCATATTTTGTTCTGTTTATTAAATATTTGTCAAAGTTAAATATGCACGATAGTACCTTTAGTAATTTAAGTTCTTTGTGGGTTGTATATTACAGAGGTCATTCGTATTTAAGAATTTCCCTTTCTATTTCTACAGAAAATACTTGATATACATACTAGTACGTGTACGGATATACGTCGTGTAGTCTGTTGTTTTTCTGGAATTAAAACTATTTGGAAATTACCCAGTACACTCATCAATTAAAGCAGAACACGTCAGCAATATTTTTTGTTTTAATCAGAAAGATACAAAATATATAACATATAAATATACAGTAAAAAAGGCCGATAATCCAAATATCAAACAATTAAACAATAATATATAACAGTATTTCAGATCAAAACTAAATTTAAAATAGTCTCAGAGTTTTGGTTTCTTGGCAAATCCTGTGAGTATTGCACTGACGAAGCATAAAATGGCACCCGTTATTGACAGTCCAAACGCCCATGACATGGAGTAGAGCATTTTTCTGCTATTACTTGTATCAAATCCAGATGGCGGGTATTTTTCATCTGCAACACTGGCTCCGTAAATCACAGCTCCTATCAGGATCAGGACCCCTATAATATAGTGTAACAAGAAAATTACATTTCAACATCTAAGGGGAAACAACTGTCTTATTTTTTATTCCAGAGGACTTCATATCAGCTTTTTGAATTTTAAAACAACTTGCAATGGTTTGAATGTGATTGCCAATCATATTTTAGAATTTTATATCTATGTTTGAATTCACCAATCTTTGTTTTAATCATTTACGTATCGTATTTAAATTCGATCATCGCATAGACATATCTTAATGTCTGTATGATGAAGTAATTATTTAGATGCCTTAGCTTGACAAAAATACCACCCTTTAATTAGTTTTTTATGTTCTGTGAATTAAATCCTTTCGTCAAAGTTATTAGTTGCTGAACAAAAGAGGTTCATTAGTTTAGAGTATGTAAGAAGGTTGTTTATTTACATTCAATTATAGTCTAATAAATTGTCAAAATGCATTTCCTGACTCCAAAAAAAGTCAGAGTTATTACAAGGACAATGTAAGAAATGACTGACAGTCTGGTTAACAGCTTGGTGTTATTTTTAATTTTGTATAATATATTAACAGTTAAATTAGTTTTCACTTTGAACATACATCTTATATTAATTCAGTCGAGATTTTAAATTCCTACATTCATTTTTTTGAAACTCTTAAGATTTTCAATGGCTGAAATCTAGCAAAGGTATTTATTTTCTAACTTTTGTGCATTGAAAATGAATGCCCTGCTCAAGGAACATTGTATTGCAACAGTTAAAAGACACGTACCCTTCTTCATTAGTCTGATTGATTAATTAGTGAGCAAAGTTTGATGAAAATGTGCTAAATACAAAACAATTAATAGTTAGGTCAAGGTCAAGATTTTGTCTTAGTTCACAGAATCTTTATTGCACTGTGCCATTGTGACCTCCTTTCAAAGTTCTGATCAGAAAGATATTTGTGGTTTCCCATAGCAAAAAATGGACTTTTCCATTATACTTGTGTGGGAGATGGGGTTTCATTTTGTGAGCTCAGTGTTCACAGTACCTCTACTTTTCATTTGTTAGGTTCAAGATATTTTTATTATTCATACAAAGATACAAATGTATATTAGTAGGTCACAATAGCACCTCATATGTAAGAGAGAGTCTGTGAAAGTCTCATAATTTTTTTCAGTGTTATGGGAGGAGTTTTGGATAAGAGATGGGCATACCCCCAGTCTTACGGAAAGAATAACATTGTCCATGTTTTGTTATGGAAAACCTCATATATTTGTCCAATTGAATAGAAAAATAGAAGGTGCACAATGTCACTATGTAATAAACATTCTATGAAATCAATGGATTAGGAGGAGTTGCAGATGGGTACCCCAAGCATTGTGGGTGTAGGGTTGGAAAGATGTACAGATGTACATGTACACATACAGACATCTATACCCCCGCTTTTCAAGTGGGGAGTATAATAATAAGGAATGATGATGTTAAGGTCATAGGAATGAGAATGGTAAGAAAATCATGACACAGTTAAATTGCTCTCATCAATTTGTATCTTTATAGGAAGTTTGATGAAAATATCAGGGACAGTTCCCTTATAACTACGATAAATCCAAAATATCAAATAGTTGGATCAAGGTCATAGGAAAGGTCTGACAGGATCAGAAAATAATGACACAGTTGAATAGTCCCTACCAATACCTTTGTTTGTTTCTTGTTTATCGTCCCACTCAAGAATTTTTCACTTGCTGGTGGAGGGCTGCAAATATTGACCTATACTCAGCACTCAGGGCCATTGAGCACTGAGGGATCTTTTTGTGCCAACACCTACTGCGACACGGGACCTCGCTTTATACAGTCTCATCCGAAGGACTGGTCTTTCACCATTTTTATCTTGAATAATAACTTTGAAACTATGAAGTCAAGGTCAAAGGGAAGTTCAAGGTCAGGGAATTCTGCCATAGTTGAACAGCTCTCATCAATATTTGTCAATATGTGAATTTTTCTATAAAATATTTGTGAAGTTTCTTTGAAACTGAACTAAATGCAAAGTGTGGTGGGATGGAAGGACTGCTGGATGGAAGACGGACATTACTGTACAAACTATTTACTCATGACTGGGCATAAAAATCATGGTTACACATGAATACCTTTGATGCAAATAAGATGCAGAACTCCATATATTATCTTTATCATGAATTTATTTACATATAAACAAAAGGCCCATTCCAGATTATAATAAAATGCTGCAATGGTAGGGTAGATACAGAATTTGGTATGACACATCATCGGATACCCAGGGTTTATTTCGTCTTTTGAGTAAAAAACGATATCACCCGTGGGTATCCGACGATGGGTACATGTATTGCATTACTACCGGTACTTGCATTATCTTTGTGTGTTTATAAACAAATAAATTTCAAGATTCTTTATTTTCATGCTACACACATGCATTCTTTATTCAAAAGAAGTCCTCAACCTTACCTGCACCAATGCTGGCTCCAATGGCTGACAGCTTCAGAATTCTGCTCCAGGTTTCTAATCTCAGAAATGTGTACAGCCCTAGAATAATCAAGGATGCACTTCCCGTCAGCATTCCCAAAATGGCCATTGCCCGCGCTCCACCCATCCAGGCTACAATGTAATAATTAAGCAATACATAAAACGTTTCAAATGATTCCAAAATTAAAATTTGGTTGAAAAAGTTGTTTAACACTGTAGTTTTTATGTCACACAACGATATCGAATTAAAATAAGAAATGTTTTAGAGATAATATTTTCAACAATGAATATAAACGATTGTCCTCGTTCATTTTCATCATCAAAATCTATTTTTTGTCTTACCTGCATCGGATACGCTAGGTGACACACATTTTGTGGCTCCTGTCCAAGATATACATTCTATCCATAATCCGGCATTTCCTATACGTAATTCCTTTCCATCGTAAAGTCTAGACGACGTCAAATGCCAATATGGCGAGGCTAAGGCTACTATATGGAGAATTCCGCCTAAAATTAACACTCCGATTGCTGCTAAACCAAAGATAGAAATTTTTCGGTCTATCGCCATTTTTGTTTCATTCACTGTGCACAACAAACGACCATGTGTCGACACACCTTTCTGCCCTGAGTCATTGGTTGTAAATATATACACCTGACGAAAACATTACTAATGGCAGTAGCAAGCTTCTATACTAAATATTGTGAATAGTTCCGGTCAGTATCGATCTCATTGTCACTTAATGTTCACCGGACACAGGTGATCAGTCTTGCCTTTTTGTAACAAAATTTGAAACGTGTCCGACGAACCACTGACGCGAGACGAAATAGATAGGCCTAATTTGTATAGAGATTTTGAAATTGAATATCGCGGGACATCTAAGCCCCCCAGCTATGCGTTGATATCATGCAACATAGTAAAATTATGCCCATGGGTTACTTTGTACAGGATCAAAGATGTGTAAACTGGATCAAAGATCTGTAAACGATAAAAAAAAAAAAAAAACTTTTCTGCTTTTGATATAATTTAGAGTTATCCTTCTTTGCTTGCATTGAATTGTATTTAGTGCTGAAAAATCATGATTTGTTAAAGGAAAAAAAAAACAACAAAACAAAACAAAACCAAAAAAAAAAAAAAAAAAAAAAAAAAAAAAAAAAACCCACTTGGCTTTCTTAAAATGATGTGTCTCTGGAGTTTACATTTATATGCTGAAACATGTACTTTTCCTTATTATTGTAATAATTTCATACTTGTCTGTTCTGGGCTCTTAATTAGAAATAAATGTTCTGTTCTTTTCTGTTCTGTACAATACACGCACAGGTGCTTGTGGACCGCAACCCCCCACCCCCTTTCAAATATACACTACGAGTCCAAGGATATTTTTATTTGTCTTCTTTCATAAATTAATCTTCTAGTACACATTTACAATGTATTCCATTTGAAAAAGCTGAAAAATAACGTAGAATTAACGTTTTTAATTTTTAAATCATACCCGCGGTATCATAAAATAATACCGCGGGTATGATTTTTAAATAAAACATTGATTCTACGCTATTTTTGGATTTTTTTTTAATATGGAATACATTGTAAATTTTTTATAATGTAAAAAAAAATTGTAAATGACCAATGACACAGTAAGTATATTTACGAGTTCCATTTTTATTGAAAAAGCAGCTGTCTATGATGTCGAAAAGCCTGGATTTCGATTAACATACTAAACATACTTTAATAGTTGTTATTTACGCTCTGTTAAAGTTAGAGATAGTTATTAATTTCACCATTGCAAAATAAATAATTTTTTGCAGCAAAACACGTCATTGCGTACTTCAACTCCAAAAAGAATGTTTGACTGCACTATCGCTTACTTAACATCCAGTGTTATATCCACTTTTAGAGCATATTGTGCAAAAATTGAGTACAAACTAGATAAAGTTTGATATTACATAATTAAGCTACAATAACAGCTGATTAGATGATTGCAAAGTAGTGCTAGCAGTTTGAGATAGTATTGCAGAAAAGTTGCAAGTTTTATACTGCCTACCTGAACCTACATGTACTCGTATATGAATAATGTTACACCTTTATCGAAGAGAAATTTATTGGAATAGCTGAATAGATATCAAAGTCAAACAGTAAGCATGCAATCTTAAATTTAATTAAATAAGCTCTAAAACTGCAAGCACTGAGGTCCATGTTATCAATCAACAACAATGTCAAGCTTTCTTCTTTGAACTAACTTCTCAGTTTTCTGAGCTGTAAATAAGATATTTTTTTTTATATTTAATCTTCATGTACGAGGGCTATTCGAAAGTGTGTATTCTTCTTTCTAATGAACGCCCATTGGTGGAAATTGGCATATATATTAGATTAACACTAAGAGTTAATAAAAGCAAGAAATATTATAAAAAATATTTTATTTCTTCTTTTCAATGGTATATTAATATGTCAAAGGTGGGGTACCCGGCACAGTCACGAAGTCAGGTATTGAAAACATGTAACACATACATTCAAACTCCTGGTGGACCCATAGCCTAGTACATGTAAGAACGAAAATAATTCAAATTTATGTATATACTTTTTCAATTTTATTTTGGCTTCATTTTGTGCAAGTTTGTTAGAATTTCGATCAGAAATACGGAGATCATAAAATAGAATTATTAAGCACGGTATAGAAATCTGATTACGACGACAAAACGGATTTTGACGTCAAGGCGGCGCAGCGAGCAACCTATAAAATTTTGTATAGCGCTGTGGAGAACTCTTGTGCAGATACACAATAACAATGCGGAAAAAAACTTGTCTAATGGTTTGCTTTTTCATTGGTATATTTTTTCTTATAAATAATTCAACCAGAGTAAAAACAAAGGCTCCGGACGGCCATCAATTATTTCGGGCTAAAAAACGTTGACCCGGGCCGTGGTGCAAAAATCGTTACTGCGTGATGCCAAGTCAACCTGTAATATGACACAATGTAATTTTACGCTGGGGTAGCAACAACAACACATTTTATTATTATTATTTTTTAAGAATCGTTTAAGAAAAGAAAGTTTGATTTCTAGAATATGACATATATGTGATGACAGAGAGAGAAGAGTTCCTGATAGTTTCAACATGAGAAAAAATCTACGGCTGGCGTGAATTTAAAATGACCTAGCGATACTGCTCCAGGTCAAAAGACACACGCAAGTTTACAAATTCACAGGGACTTATCCAATTATCCTAATAATAAGAAATTTTGCACATTTGTTTTATTTGTTCTTGATAAAATATTGACGAAGTTTCATGGATTTATGTCTTTTCTTTATGGAATAAAAGATATCTCAATAATTTCCAAACAGCCCTCGTAGCCACTCTGAAAACAATGTTTTTAACTTTCAAATAATACTTATCTTATCTGAGGAATTAACAACTTTCAAATAATACTTGTTAATTCCTCAGATAAGATGAATCGTTGATACACGTAGATACAAGTGTGAGACAATTAATATTAGTTATAGAGATATATTTATATTAGTTATATTAGTTCAAGTTAGAATCTGAAAAGAGTTATGAAATATTGGCATATGGTGTAGTAATTGTAAACCCTTCACATATTTCGACTGATTTTTTTTTTTACCGCTTGTGAAGTGAAAATATGTTTAAGAACTATTTCCACACGTCATAACTTTGATTTTTCCTTAAAAATGATTAAATAAATCAGCATATTTAGATTACTAGCATTATTTTGCAATTTGCAATGCAATACATTCGCATTACGATTTTTATAGTTGTAATATTTCCTAGGTTTTAAACAATAAATACATGTATTCTTTAGGGCAGTCTTTTAAATGACGAATATGTTAGAAGACTTTCGAATATTAAAGAGAAATCATCCAAAAATCTCTTAGTTGAAGGAAGAATACTTTTCATAAATGAAGTTGCTTGGCTTGTGGAATATGAAAAGTAAGATTGGCATGATTCCTTAATGGATAAGAATTATGTGATAAAAACCTTGTTGCAAAAGGTCTTGCAAATATTGGGGAGCTAATCCATAAACTATTTTATAAAATAATACGAGTTTATGTCTATATGAGTGAAAAAAATTTGAATGGGACGTTAAACAACAAATAATCAATCAATCGATCAAGTGTATCCCGGCCAAGTTCTTCCTATAACATTGGTCTTGATGAATTTATCCTTAATCCTGTTATTATTCGTGCAGTTGCAACTTGAACATCTTCGAGTAATTTTGCATCTCTGTCAGCACAATTATCCCAAACAATATTTGATTAATCAAGAACAGGACGAATAAAACCAAAATATATTTTTATCACAGCATTCCTTTTAAGACTATGCATTCACATTTTTAACATATTAAATGGGTTACAGGCTTTGGCATGAATATCAAGTATGTGAGGAGTTCTCCAAATACTATCCTGCTGTAATTTTAGTCCTAGATGAGTATGTATTTCAGCATTTTGAATATCTAATTTAATTTCTGGGTGGCAAATGTTTTTTTCTATTAAAATCTAAATTAAATGTTTTACTAGGATTGAATTCTACTGCCCATATATTAGACCACTGTGTGATTTTTCAAAGATCCTCAGTTAATAAATTTGCAGAATAAAAAAACGTCATCATCACCTATAACATAAAGAGATGTGTAGTCCACAAAGAGCCTTACAGTATTTGATAATTTTGTGGATATGTCATTAATATACAATAAGAATAAAAAGGGATCTAGAACTGACCCTTGAAGGACACCTGAATTGGAAGCTCTTGAGGTTGATGAAAAGCCATAATTAGCTACTTTTTGGGTTATATCAGACAAATAATACTCAAACCAATTAACTATTTGTTCGGAGATACCATAGCATTTAATTTGTAAAGGATACCTTTATGCCACACTCTATCAAATGCTTTTGAGATGTCAAAGAAGACAAATCTTTATGCCACACTCTATCAAATGCTTTTGAGATGTCAAAGAAGACAAATCTAATTAAATAGCTTTATCAAGACTTGATATTATTGTATGGTATATTTCTGGTAAATAATTAGTTGTTGAATCACCAGGTTAAAATCCAGATTAATATTTATTAATTAGATCATTTTCAAGTCAATAATAATACAAATGCTTGAATAATTTTTTTTCCCCTAAAATTTTACATACAACCGAAGTTATTGATACTGGCAGATAGTTATAAATATCATATGCACTTCCTTTATTCTCAAAGATCGGAGTATTTTGTGAATTTTTCCAAATACCTGGAAGTTGACCAGATGCAAGGGAATAATTGAATACTTTAGTAAGGGGTTTTTACTATTGACTTAGCTATATTTTTAAGGACCAAAGGAGACATACAGTCACGACCTGGAGGTTTTGTAATATTGATTACTTGGAGCTGATTTAGTACTTCCTGCTCTGTTATAATTAAATCATCAAGTGATTATTTAAATTGTTGCCCTGGTCCATATAGTGGCACCTCAGGTTCATTGTAAAGAGTTGATACTCCTGCAAAATGTTCATTAGCTCTTTTAATAGGATGAAAGTATTATCATTCGAGGACTTTAAAGGTGCTGGTAGTCTCTTTCTATTTTGTTTTTGTTTTGACAGAGATCTAACTATTCTTCACCATTTTCCAGGGGGTAAAGATTTATCTACCGTAAACCCTTTTATTTTCGCGTAATTACACGAGACTGCCTGTTCGCGAAAATAAAGCTCTCGCGCATATTTCTAGTACTAAAGAATATATGGAACAATATCCAAAGTTCGTGAAAATTATGCCTCGCTTATATATACCAATTGACCATCTCGCAAAAATAAGGTGTCGCGAAAATTTGTGATCTACATAATTGGTTTAAAAACTTTTGGTTGTGTCTATCTCGAGAAACATCATCGATGACTTTCTTTCTTAACTTACGATATTTTTCCCAATGA